AATCAACATACATGCCTTAGGCCCCGGGCAGACTTCACGCGGTTTGATCGTCGCGACTGAATCGCGACGAGACAACTGTCACAACATCATTCCATGCCGATCAACTTGCATTCGGTTGTGATACTATTCCAGCCCGAAATTTTTGAATGTGAAATGAAAATGAATGGAAATCTTGGCGATTAGATCGCGACGATTAAGTCGCGTGAAGTCTGACCGGGGCCTTAGCGCCAAAACGTGCGCGCGGAAGGGGGCGTGCCGGCTCTTTCTGGCGCTTTTGGGCTTTTCTTCGGTCTGGGCTTTCCTCGGCGAAGTATGACGGGTTTCTAAAACGTCAAGATTTTGGAGTCCCACAGTCGGTAGATTGCGAAGGCCTGAGCAGTTTTACACATTTTATTTTACATTTTTGTTCACGCTAGGTTGATTGTTAACAATTAAATTTCTTGATGCTTGTAGAAAAAGAAAGCTTTCTGACAACGCTCCAAATCTTTTCGATTTTAAGGCCGTCCTGTTTTACACCAACGAAAATTTACAGTTTTTTCTATCTGCCGCCTTTTCTGCACTGAAGATAACCGTGATCTCAAATAATCCAAGTGAGAAGCCCATCGATTTTAGCCCGCAACTGCACTCGAAACCTACGCTCATAAAGATCGAAAGCTGTCAAACGCTTTCGACTGTAACTCTTTTCGCAGCATGCATCGAGTTTATAGGGATCGTCACGCCTAATGGCTTCGAAAAACATGCAAAACATCACCCAAATAATATTTACAATAAACAAAAAGTCGGTCAACTCTGCGCAGAGGGGATTTCAAGGTCATCCAAATAAATGGGACTTTTTTGGATGGGCGAGAACATTCTAAAATCTTGAACTGGCCTAAGGAGAGCTCCGTCGATACTCCGTCCAACTCCAAATTCAGTGTTGTAAAATGAAGTGCTGAAAATCAGTGATCAACTAAACAACAGCCGTGTTTGCAACAAATCCCTCCATTTCTCAAGAACAATAAATTTGCTTGAAAATAACAGAATTCTGAAGAATTTTCCCGTAAGTTTTCTGCTCTGGCGTTCGCAACCTTCATGATAATAGTTCATGACTCTCTGATACTTTTCCTAGATATCCACACAATTTTAGAACCTCGAATTTGCCGAATATTCGGCTTTGATGTTCATTTGTGTGTTCGAGAATCTCTGACGAAACTTGAGCAAATGTGGGATTTCAGTCCGCTCATACTCAATCAAAAATGGCGCATACGGGTTGGCCGAATTTCATTTCAAATTTGCTTGAGTATTGTCTGGGATTCATCTCCATGCAGCCCTGGAAACTAGCGTTACCGTGATCACTTAGTATTATAGTGCCGAATAACCGCCTACGGTTTCAGCGAAATCTTCAAATTTGTGATTACGGTAAACCCCGGGGAAACGATTATAGATGTGGAAATTGCTAAGCTTCAAAAACTCAAGCAGACTTGTACGGCTAATATTGTCCGCGAATTTTGGTAAATACGACAATAAACTATGCTTTTCTGCAGTTAACCATTAACTCTAAGGGTCTCAATCGGCATAGACTTTTCCAGGTCAGAAATCAGTAAAACCTGTGTAACGGGTCGAATTCACTGCATGGTTTCCACAGTTTTTTTGCGTCTCCTCTTCGAACTCTGGTTTGGTTTTGGTTTTGGTTTTCGATCACTTTGGAAGTTTCGGAGCTATCATGGAATTAAGCTTCTGGCACTGCCAAACAGGGCGTGATTTTCATAATATCATCATGTGATCACACCTCTTGAGGAATAACATTTAGAAACAGAGGTTCAGGACTTTCGTGACAATTCCGTACGAAAGCGATTTCTAAATATTTGAAGGTCTACTGTATTTCTACAGATTAAATACTTTCTTGAACTTGCGTTTTCTCTTTTTGCCTTTGCGACTGCTGCGAAGAATTTAGAACCGCTGCCATTTGGGAAACAGTGCTCGGTTACAAGCAGAATAAAAGGATAATGAAGGAGAACCACGAGTGAACTTGACGGAGCTATATACTTCGTGGGACTCGCATGCACTGAAGGCTTGCCTAAGGCTGCGTTCATACCGATCCCGAACATCCGGATCAGTATGAACGCACCCTAAGGCAAGGGACATACCTCACGCGATTTCAGTCGCCACGCGATCTAGCAATTTGCCAGATGTTTTCAAATATAATACTGGTAGACCCCAAATGTACAGCATGTATAACTTTCGTAGATTGATAAAATGCCCCATCTTCCGTACATTCGGAAACCCCGTACGATGGGTTATGAACGTTTGGAGTATTGCCAAATCGCGTCGCGACTGAAATCGCGTGAGGTATGTCCGAGGCCTAAGGCCTAAGCATGCCTCACGCGATTTTAGACGCCGCGCGATTTGGCACTGCAACGACTCTCCATAGCTGGTCGTAAACGCTCTTGCTTGGGCCAGACTTGCTGCGTTTGTTACAATCTACGGAATCTACGCACCCATGCATCTGAGAGCCTCGCATGCAAAATCTCTAGACATCTGGCAGATCGCCAAGTCGCGAGAATGTGGCGATTTCGCGAAATCGCGAGAGGTATGCCTTGGGCCTAAAGGGCCGGGCGCACGTCACGCGATTGCATCTCCTCGCGATTTGCCCAACAAGACAACTGCTACGAGTTCAGTGCATGCAGATCATCTTGCATTTTGGTTGTAATAGTTTTCCAAACGACTAAATGCGACTAACTATCACAACTGAAATGCAAGACGATCAGCATGCAATGGATACGTGACAGTTGCCTTGATGGGAGAATCGCGAGGCGATGAAATCGCGTAAATTCTGCCCGAAGCCTATCCCGCATGTGTTGAGCCTTACAATTTATCCACGTGCTGCATTTCTGGATGAGAACCATATATGTTCAAGCGTTTGAAACGTTTGAAATATCGTCTTCTAACGAATGCTGCGCGCATTTAGGAAATTGTTTGACCTGGAACGCCTGTTTGTTATGGATACATACTTAGCTGTGAGACTATCACACGTATTTTGAAGATTCTTTGCTCGATGCTTCGAACGTAATATGGAGGAAATACACTCAAAATTCTATCTCTACTTCTTCAAATTTTAAATGAGTAAATGAATTGATTCACATATCTTGAGGCTGCTAGATTGCTGGATAGTACATGTTTCGATAAAGTACGGCAACCACAGCCAATCATAAATAAACACGTTTTTACCCGCTAATTTGCAACGATCAGTACTAGCAGTTTGTATGCTCCCTTGCATGTGTTGCGATGCGCCTGAAGAAATTCAAGTCATCAATCTGTGAAATCTTCTTTTTGTTCTAGGAGAAATTTATAGCCTACGTAATCAGTATGTTGACCACAAATGTACTCGTGCCCCACGGACTCTTATTGAGCTGGAAACTAAGTTTTGCAACTGGTTTCATAACTTCACTCTCTTTGGATATGGCGGATTCAAACTTTGGCATTATGTACAAGGCAATGTGAGCTACAAGTGAGCACAAATTGTCTACATTTTGAACACGAAATAGAAAAGTTTCAGGCGTTTTTCAAAAACCAGTGAAATTTGAGAGTCTGGTTCCAAGCTAAAATGAAGCCTTTGGTAGCCTAGACCATGCGCAGTAATCCGGATTCGTCTACAAATTATTGCTGATGACTCCTTTGGCCTAGTAAGAAAGAAACAAAATTTAGGGGCATTTCGAGTCCTCATAAAGTCCTCATAAAGTCGAACGAGTCGATGTACGCACGAGCTGCGGGGACGACTGTCAATGACTAAAGAATCCGAAACTCAAATTTCGCCAAGACTTTACATAGTAAGGTTATTTGACCTGCCAAACGCGAATATCACATTCATTGTTGATTCAACCCCTTTTTTCTTGTTTAGGGTGAGACCTCATATCGTACACCTACAGTAATCCTACAAAAAACCTTTATCACGCAATTTCACTATCATTTTCGTGATCAGCATGTCGTATAACACCTCTATGCCAAGTTTCAGCTAAATCCGTCAAACTTTGAGTTTTTCCCCTTCATACCATGCACCTACCGTAACCTCACTGCGACGTCAGAATTTGGTAGGACAGCAGCTGTGCTTGTAGCTCACATAATAGCCAACGCAGTGGCAAAATTTGAGTGCGCCATGTTGAGTGAGAGGGAAGTTATGAGACCAGTTGCAAAACTTAGTTTCCAACCTAATATAACACGATCAATGTTAGCTTTTTACACAGTTCTCGTATGAGTAACTGTCACATTCTGGAATCAAACCAAAGAAATCGATACCGTTCTTTGAAGCCATGTTCAATCGAAGTGGCCTTCAATGGATGTATGCCATATTGGAGAGCATAAAGCGCTGATTCTGAATCTGCCTTATTAGCGGAACATCTATGGGCGAGGAGTTATGTGCATTTATAGAGCAAAAAATTGCATGTTTTGACAGGATAAAAATTGTTGTGATATTCTTTTCTTACGATTTAGTGGAGCAGTCCACAAATGTCAAATAAGGGAGGCAGATTGTCAGCATTTTACGCTTTCCAATATGGTAATTTTATCTAGAAAAGGCACTTCGACTCAACATGGTTCCCCTCAGTATTGTTCAAATATTCTTAGAGATCTTGCTAGTATAACTTTCAGCGTTCATCTTCCGTGCGTCACCGATTTGCCGTTTTTGTGATCAAAATCTTGAGAAGCTTTAGACGGGGATCTTTTCCCGTATCTCATCGGACTTCATCTGCAGTTGAAGATCTTTATTTAAAAGTAGACATGCGAGGAGTGCGGAAGCTAAGCCTCGACGTATCACCAAGTCAGATAAAGATTCCAGCTCCAATAGTCCCAAAGCTTCTTCTTTATGAAGGGCTTGGTTGCATTCAGTATTATGGAAGTGGCATAGCCATTGTTTTTTTTTTAACTTCAAACGGAAGAACAAGACAAGACAAACTTGCTCTTTCCTAAAAGCGAGCTTGCCATGTTTTTGAAATCGAGATTTACGATTTTTTGAACCCCTCGGTTACAGGTTTTCCGTAGCTTTCAAATCTCCTCTGTCGTCTAGCGTGATGATGGCGTTTTTCGCGCGTCCAAGGAATCATGTTAGTTCATCTAATGACAATTTAGCTATGACCGCTTCAATGTAAGGAAAACAAGCCCGTTTATAAGCATGACGCTGTTATTGCTAAACTTAAAAATTTTTTTTACTCATCTTTAGTATGCTTCGGCATTGCGAATGAGTCGCTTGGCTTTCACTCAGCTGGACTTCTACCCCTCAAGTCCTTCCATGTGTCAAGATGTCTGGGTTATTCCCATGAATCTCTTCCCCTCGGCTTTGGGCTTGCACTTAATGGACATTTTAGTATACTAAACAGTTGGTTTCAGATAATGTCGTCTCAATCAGTTGCAGACAGACGAAGACAGGTAAATTTGGCTCTTCATTGATTCCTACTTCGATATCAGGTGTCCAGCTCGTACACTTGATCTAGTGAAACGCTTCAGGTTCTTGTCGGAGAGCTGCCTCCCGACTTTTTGCGACTCATTGTTCCACGAGAACAGGCAACTTCTTTCCCGCAGCAACAGGTAACCCAGGTGATTTCCCAGATATTCTACCGACTGAAAGCTCGACGTAGTCACTGCCGCTTTTTGTTGAAAGTAGCAGGATTCGCAGAAATTGTGTTCACACATGCGCGCAAGGCAATATTGCTCAAAGGCTCCGTTCGTTCAAACTGATAGCGGCAAGATTTTGATAGAGTACATTAGCTGGACCCTCTAAGTGATTGCTCGAGTCCTGCTGCAAAATTTGCAGTTCGAAGCATTGCTTCGAACTGCAAATTTTGACTGATAGCGGCGCGGTTGTTCCCCATCAATGTGAAGTTCCGGAAATAAGTCCGAAGCTCATAATGTAGTCAAAATTGTCGAAATCCAATAATTATAATGAAGGCCAGGACAATTCTGGTGTTCAGTCCGAAACATTTTTGCTAGACGCCGTCGCACACTTTTCATTCTGATGTGCAAGAAATTTTTCAAGAGCTTTGACAAATGCTAAGTAGATGGACCTATATTCGCCGTGCAATTTTAGTGGTCGAGATTTCTGCTTGTTATGAAATCACCCCGATTTAAATAATCTCACAACAACTTGTGATACGCTGGTGTCTGCACATCCAGGTTAAAATTGCTACAAACTGTTAATTTCTATAAACTCACGTGTAGAGCGGACTTCGAAGTCATCGGGTAGGAAGAAAATTGCAGAAATATTTTACAGTTCTTCATGTTTGTGCATGTCTATCGGAAATAATAAGTCTATGATATTGCCTAGCATTCCACTCAAGCGCAGATCACACCCACGAAAAATCCAATTTCTTTTCAAATGTTTCAGTAATTGATTCTGTCCGAAAATCAAGAAAATATTGATACAGTCAATGTTCGTATATTTGATAATACTGAACTGAATAATCTTACACTTGGAATCAAAATTGAACAACGTTCGTTTCGAGACTTGTTTTTGATCGAACGAATTGTTTTTCCAAATTTCTTGAACAAGCAAGTTTCGAATCAATGTGATTCATCATATAATCGATTGATTCGTTTATCCCAGCAGAGTATCATTTACTGTTAGGCTTTTGTATTCACTCTGAAACTTTTACCTTTTCTGCTCCTTGGTGAAATTTTCAAGCATTTTGCGCCTTTATGGACGGAGCATTCTTTCGAATTTCTATTTTGTTGTGTATTCTGGGTTTCACCAGCACTTGGTTATTACAAGTTTGTTTGTTACTTTGTTTCATTTTTAATAATCTCCCTCAGCAGTGCTCGGCATATCTGGCACCGGGTCAAGCTGGATATCGTTTTTAGGGCGGAAAGCAAAGGGGATATCGTTTTCCGAGGTCCGGGGCGGAGAAGAGCCGCAAGAATGCCGCCGGCATGCCACCGGCATGCTGCCCATCAAACAAACAAAGGCGTTGTTTTCTGCCAAAACGCAATAGTATGACACCAAATTTGGTGTGTGCATGCGCGTTGGGAGACCCGAACTATGGCCCAAAAACTTATGAAAGCTGTGCTGAACTTTTTTTCTGAATTAGCTGGCACCGTGCCAGCTGGGTGCCAGCTGAGCTGGCACCGACACTTTGCTCACATAAGATTTCAAACTTTTTGACATCAAATGTATCTACACTTCAAAAATTTACATACAGAGAAGAAACAATTTTATAATGTTTTCTTTTCAGCGTTTTATAGCCATTTGAAAATTACTCGGTGTGCTCCGCAGTCGAAAAATCGTTTTTCTGTTTCTCAAGATGTGATTCAACAACTCAAAAAGCTCAGAAAGCTGTGAAAAGTTCTTTCATGAAATCAGCATGCATGAAAACCCCACTACATACTTTTACATAGTCTAAACATAGTGACGGGTCTTCCAAACAGGTCATAGGGGACTTCGTACGAAATTTTCAAGATCAAACGGGACTTCTTTGAAATTTCCTTGGTGCCAGCTCGTGCCGAGCCCTGTCCCTTAGGCCTCGCGCAGAGTTCACGCGACATCGCCTCGCAATTCTCCAAGAAAGACAGCACTTACGAGTCCATTGCATGCCGATCATCTTGCATTTCGGTTGTGATAATTAGTCGCGAATAGTCGTATCGGAAAACTACCACAATCGAAATGCAAGATGATCGGGAAGTGGACTTGTAACTGTTGTCTTATGAGAAAATCGCGAGGCGATGAAATCGCGTGAACTCCGCCCAAGGCCTTACAAATCGGTATGATTTGAGAGCGTATAGCCCAGTCTTATCAGGCCATACAGAAAAATCATGGATTTTAAGCCGTTTAATCACCATTTTTTGTATAAAGCGTCCAATATCCACAGAAATTAGCCATTTCCGCATTCGAAGTAAAAGCAGATATGAAGGATACGCTAAATTTCCACAGCATTTTAGAAAGGGATCTTCTTGATTTTTTGAATTTCGGAAAGACGAAGTAGTAAAAAGCAGTCATCCTCGCTATCCAGAACAGGGTTGTGCACAAGCTCGCATTGAACTTTGAAAACGAATCGCCCGTCATGATCGTGATCGCATGACTTTCACGAATAGCTTTTTGATGTCAAACCGAGTACAAAAATGCCTTCATCGTTGTTCTACAATGACAGGTTATTGATGAAAACGATTTATGCAGTCCGAAATTTATGTGAGGAAACAGTCGGGTTCTGACAAGTTGAAACGTTTCAGCAAATTTGGAAAAAAGGTTGCCTTTGCTTTTGATCTTTTAAAGGCAGTGTCCGGGCAAAAACTCGATTTTGAGATTTTGTGCTTATACGGGCCTATTCGCCATGCTGAATCCGAAAATCCACGCTAGAAAGCGCGAAAACGGCAAAAAAGGGCTCTGGCGCAAGAGGGAAACAGCAAGTGGGCGGGGTCTTCCCCACTGTGGATTTCCGCTCCCAGCTTTCGGAGCGGTCTTCTCGATTCCGCTAGCCGTCCTAACATCGCTACTGGCCAAGTGCGAATGATTGACTTGAAACCGGAAGCGAGAAGATCGCTTCGGAAGCAGGGCTCGGCACGAGGTGGCTTACAAGCAAGCTGGATATCGTTTTTGGGACGAAAAGCAAAGGGGGTTTCGTTTTTGTGACCGAAGACACACGCAAAATTGGCGGTTTGGCGACGTTTTTTTTTAGTCGACGTTTCGTTTTTTGGAGGATTTTTAGGGAATATGGTGGGGGGTCAAAGGGGACTTCGTAAAACTACCCAAAAGTCAAGGGGGACTTCGTTTTTTGCATTTTCATCTAGCCACCTCGTGCCGAGCCCTGTTCGGAAGCTGGGAGCGTGAATTCACAGTGGGGAGGACCCCGCCCACCTGCTGATTTCCCTACTGTGTTAGAGTCCCTTTTCGCCGTCTTCGCGCTCTCCAATGTGCATTTTCGGATTCAGCGTAGCGAATAGGCCCGGGTAAGCACAAAATCTCAAAATCGAGTTTTTGCCCGGACACTGCCTTTAAGTTGTCATAAAATTACAAGTTTGACATCTCTCATGTGCATATACACCCCAAGTTCGGTGATTTGTCTTTGACCTGTTCTAACAAACAGGCCATTTTGTGCGAGGTATTAGGTTGTAAAAAAGTTTTGCCAATTCTTCTCATAATTACCAAAAAATGAATGCTAATGCAAGGGACTGGTTTGAGAGAGCTCTTAGTGTGCGATGGCTATAGCTACCAAATACGCCTCTCAGCTTGTGAAAATAACGATAGAAAGGAAGAAAGAAGGAAGAAATACCCAAAAAGGAAGAAATACCTAAAAAGGGAAAAAAATTCGTTGCGCTCAGGTCTGCAAAAAAGGCACATTTTTCAGAATATACGCGTGCAGAACCTGGAGAAGCTTCACTTGAAAATCCGTTTGCATCCTTTTTATTGCTTAGATGAAGCGATATCCGACTATTATCGGCTCCGGTATCGGGGCCTTCTTCTAAGCAAGAAATGGCTTATTTATCGCAGGGTTCAAAAACCGAACCGTTTGTCAGTACATGACCAAAATATCGTCAATTGACAGTCACTCATGATGAAGATATAGATAAAACAATTCAGCTCAACGCCTGTTAGCAGAACTTTCTTTACGACGTAATAGTTTAGATCTAGTAAACCATGACCTTTTTCGACTTATTGATGAGGATGTCTTGAAGGGCGATTTCTATCCGTGGTGCTAATGCAGAAACTTTTCCGCGGCTCAGCCTCTGATCGAAAACGGCATCTCATTTTTTCCTTTGCAAAAATTGCTTATCATCGCTTCCCCCGCCAGTGCCGAATCAAGCTCATCGCGTTTTATATCTGCTCTAAGAGAACTCGGGAGAAGTCTTAGGCTTCCGTTTCCTGGATTCATTCATTTATTATCCCATTCTACAAAACCACTGGTTTAGAAAAAATGGTCATAATTTGTTTTCTTTGTATTCAGTTGGTGTACAGCGGCGGCAGCTTTGTTCCTCCTAATACACGAGGCCGTGTATCAATTACAATTGCTGATGCAAACCTTGTGAGGAATTATGGCATTGTAAGGATGGACCCTTACTGTAGGCAAGTTTTGTTTGATCGACAACATCTTCTGAACAGAGAATCTCAATGTCTTCACTGGCAGGCTTCGCGTTGGTCATGCCGTTTTTGAAACTCAAACTAAACTGAGTGGTGGTCGAAGCCCTGTATGGAATCGCACCATCCATGCCTATCTTCCCAACGGGGTGGAGAGCATCTACATCCAAATATTCGATGAGGTAACTATCGTTTCTTGCCGTAAATGGCTCAGATAAGTTAATCATCGAAAAATTTTGATTGGCTGTGGGCAGGTTCTAAACGTAAAACATTACGCCTGAAAAAAAATTGCCATCTCGCAATGTTGAGAGATGGAGGAATGAAACAACAGCACTGCATCGAGATAAGGGATCAGTCAGAGTTTGCCAATGTTGCCGGTGTTGAAAGTGCTAGGAGCGTTATAAACGTGGATTATTAGTCTCCCAGTCTTATTCTTTCTTAAACCGTCCTGCAGATCGATCGGATCGGTTGAGAAAGAAAAGATTAAGGCTCACATTAGAAGACAGGAAGATGGACATTTTTTGCATGCAAGAGATCCTCTTACAAACTTGCAAATTTTATAACGCTGCGAAAATTCAATGAGTAATGCGCGTCGGTTGGTCTTCACCGTGTTCAAGGTTGCTAAGTGGATTGTTCACTAATCGCAGAAGATCCGGATATGACACCCCAACCGCATTACTCGTTAATCGCGTTCTCGAATCCGTTTATGGATATTGCCTTTGTCAAACAAATCATCTACTTTCCAAAAAACTTGTGAGAGGATCTTTTGCATGAGAAAGCATCGATCTTCTTGTCTTCTAATTTAAGTCCCATTCTTTTCTTTTTCAATCGATCTCTACAGCTGCAGGATGGTTTGAGGAAGAATGAGACTGCATGATTGGTGAATTTCACGTTCAACACCGGCAAAACTGGCAAACTCTGGCCGGTCCCTGAAGAATTCCTTTGACTAGCAAAGAGTAAGGCTATCCTGTTTGCGCATAGTCTTCAGGATGTAGAGTTGTGGTTTATTGCATCCCATAGGTAGACAAGTAAGAAATAAGTGAAGGAGTGAATGTGGCGACGAATCTCTACATCTATCTACAAGCAGAAAATTCTTATGTCTGTGCACATTTCCCATGGTCATTAAGGATGAGCAGTGAAGCACATTCTGATCTGCTGGTCCACCAAGACATGGTAAAGATTGTAGAAAGCGAACCCAAGACGATTCGGAAATGGAGGGTAAGTACGATGGACTGACTCCAAACCGGAGTGGAACCCGGGATGCCAGCTCGTAGGCTATATGCTAAACTTGATTTTCCCTAAGCTTTTTGGGGTATACAGCAGCGTGAATTATCTTTTTGCTGTTCATGGAGGCATTTTTTTGGTGAGCCGCGTTTTTTCGTCTTCTATTTTCTGAAACAAATGTCTTCGCCTTTCTGATTTGCAGAATATTGAATGAACAAGTTTTGTAATGTTGCCTTGTCTTTCGGTCTAATAGGTTGCTGATTGGTTCTCTCACTTCCAGCAAAGGGCAGTGTTTCGGCTAAGTGGGATTTGCTTGGATTTTACAGCGGTGCAGTAGCCCCCCCCCCTCTCCCCACCCGACGAAGTCCGAACTGACGCGTTTACAAAGCCCAGATTTCGCTCAGGAAATGTTCCGAATTATAGTGCTAGCGTAGCAGCAGAATTTCTCTCATCACGTATCCCATCATTTTTCGCGAATTGTATTGCCATTCAAACTAACATCAATTTTCCGATCTGTACAGAGCCCAAATTCGTAATCAGCGCCAGCGTTGCTCACTAATGTTTTGGATTTCTCCACGAAGACGGAAATTTGCCCTCTAAACGCAGCTAAATGCGAAATTACGTCAACAAAGTGTGATTTGCAAAAATGTTCGAGGGTTTTTTGTAACCCAGTGGACCTATATTTTAGCGCGATGTTCTGCACAGCTGGTGGTCTCATCATGAGATATTCGATGGTGGAAATATTAATAAATATCGAATATCGCCAGATGTCGGAAGAATTGCTAATGCGATGATTTATAAAACGTTAGACCAATACAACAGGTCCGAAAGAAAAAACCATGGGTGCGACCCATGCTAAATCTTTAAGGGACAAATTTAGTATAGATGTCATGCAATTTGTTGGTTTCTAACGTGGATGAATTATATCCATCATTTTATGGAAACCCCTGACCTCAATTTCACTCAGTTTCGACTTACCTATAAATTTTTCAGAAAGCGTTTAGTGCGGACGAATGCGTTGCTTGGGCGCATGTGATGCTTCCTCAGGCTATTTTCAATGGCGAAACAATCGATGATTATTACCCTCTAAGTGGTCAACAGGTATAACTTTTTCTGGTAATATCAGTGTTTGGTAATGGAGGACCCCACCACTGTACCGCTTCAAAACCTAACAACCCTAATTGGGGTAGGCGGTGTCGCTGATCGATTTTGGAGAAAAGCCAAAATTCCTCGTTACTAAAAGCATATCTTGTTGGGTTTACATACATCATTGGTCAACCTCCACAAACAATCTTTTTTCCATTGCTTGAGCGTTTTAGCCTTTATCTTGGACAGGATGTAGATACTTCTATGCTTCATTTCTAGGGGGAAGGCAAAGAGGGAATGCTTCATCTCATCATTTCATTTGCCCCAGTGGATGCTACCGTTTCTGCTGAAGCTGTCTTACCTTCTACTGCTTCTCCACCCTTGCCAGGTAAGCTTGGTATCTTGAATATTCTTTTCAACATCATGCACATATCATCATAAGAAAAAAGAAAGAAGCTTATTAAAATGCTGTATTGTCCTATATACGGCAATGATTTCAGTGGAGATCACTGCTGAGGACACAAAAGAATTAGAAGCAATGTTCCCAGGAGTGGACAGAGAAGTAATCAGATGCGTGCTCGAAGAAAGCCGAGGTCACCTTCTTTTTGGGCGTGATGCTTCCATAGTTGTAATTTTGGCTTTACAGGCGACAAGGATGCAACCGTGAGCGCTCTACTGGAAATGAGCAAGAATGAATAAGTGATGGTGTATATGCAGCTTATTTTTTGTGTGATTATATAAGATTGTTTTCTTGAGCAGCATCTGCTTTCTGTGAACCTTTCGTTTATCTTTCTATGTTCATAAATTGTCAATCTATGCATGAGTTCCAAGGGTAGACGCGTGCAGATCGTCAACAGCTTCTCTTCTATGAACGAATTCTTTGAAATAAATATGCCCGAGGATGTGTTCGTGCACCTATGATAGATATTTTGCAAAAAATAGTGTCAACTGGAAATTTGCACATCGAGCATTTGATCTATTTTTGAGTTGAAAATATTTCGAAATTTACAATGTTGTGTTTCTTTAATGTCCAAATTTGACTATTCACCGATCCATCCTCTATGCTTATGGGATCCGTTATCATCGTCGACTACTGAAACCGAGTTGGGCGCGAGATGGGACCAGGGAGTTTCTGAAACGAAGTCTCCCTTTGATTTTACCATATCTCATGCAGTTCTCCTAATCTTGCTACCTCTACACTACCTCCAACTTTATTTCAATACCTAGGTTGTCGCTTCAACCCTGGATCCTCTTCTCTTTCTTTCTGCCTCCTAAAGAAAGTGCAGAAAGCAGTAACCAATAAAAACAAGGACAGATTAAGATTGGAGAAAGAAACACAAGTGAGATTGAACATTGGCGATAAAAGATTTGCGTGTCAGTAAGCCCTATGGGCCGCTCATTTGGGATTTTCCGAGGGTCTTAGAGCATAGAGAAAAAGTATGAAACAATTTGCGACTGCAGGAGAACTTTTGAGGTGAAAATACAGATCATGAAAAAAAAAGAACCCTGAACAATTGTGTGAGCGTCTGTGTATGAGTGTCTGTAAATTGTTTTCGCCCATTTCAGGCTCTGAAGAAGGCGAATTATTGCCGAAACGTTAGCCTAAATAAAAATTACTTCTCGGTCGTGGCTAAACAATCGAATAAACACAGCATTCGTCATGTCGAGATTTATAGAAAGTCGAGCTTTCCAACTGTGTGAGCAGTGTGTAATCCAGCTCTGCTGGTAAACAGGTGGAACGGTTTCGGCTAATTTGGAAATTCATACACATGTTTCAGCCAGCATCGGTGGTGGAAATCCACGAGACGAGGCTGCGCGTCGCATCGAGAAACTGGTATCCAAGAATTGAGAGTTGTATTCAAAAAAGCGCAATCGACTTTTGCCAGTTTTCTTTCACCTTGCCGCTTTTGCGCGCATTTACCGTTTTTCACCGTCACCTCAGCTTAGATGTTCATCTCGGACAATATCGCGCAGTTAGTAAACAAACGAGACTACCAATAGACTACGGTGCACTATGCTGAGGGGAACGCAAATGTTGATATTCATCATAAGCCACCATTGGAACGTCGTAGAGCTGTTGGATGTAAACAAAAACAGGGATTGAACGCGCGTTCCACTCTTCAAAACCATTATAGTTATCAGATACGCACAGCAATTAACGCAAAAGATTTAAGAGACATCCGTGAGAAGATGTTACATTCAACGAAGATAGGGTTAGAACCAGTGGTTTGATTCGTTCAAGAATCTAACAACAGACCAGCTTTAGCGCTCGAGTATTATTTCCTTTACTTGCGACGCGTGCATCTCATCTGGTAGGTTTCCGCCACCGACGCTGGATGATACAGCCTAAAGCATACCCTCGATACATAGAGCCACGTACTCTGGTAACCTTCACTTTGAGGACTATGAGGGGACACAACCTTCACCTAGGAAAAAACAGAAGTCATTCGGGGCTTCGCCCCGGATGTTATTATCCTGCTTATATCGGAACGAATGTTAATTAAGCAAATATGGGGAATAATATCTTCAGCTTATCTCAGCGAAACCGAGAATTTGCGTTTTCATAGCCTTTTTTATCCTGAAAAAAGCTTTCCATGGGATTTTCGCCAGCATTCAAAACAAAATTTCTTAGTTAACCTCTCATTTGAAGATCTACGACCAGAGCCAAATGCCCCGTCGGCTCTGGTCTGTCTCCGCTGCTCGTCTGCGTCTCCGCGCGCTGCGCGCTACCTCGCTACCCCAAATGCGGGGCGCGGGGCATTTGGCTCTGGTACCCTTTTCTTCGCTGTTTCGAATCCAGTTTTAGCAAGCTATACATCATTTTGAAGCTCTTGATCTCTATTTTCACGCTGACAACGTCCCAGAACCACATTTTTTGATTTGATCGAGAAACCCGGCAAGAACCTTGTTTTCAAAAATCTCTTGTTTTTCTCCTAGTTTAACTATTTTCATGCGGTTTTTTCGTGCATTCTATAGATCTTGCTTCTGTTCATGATGCAGACAACCATTCAGCCTTTATCTCTTCGATTATTGTGGAATTTTTCGCGAAAAATCGTCAAAAGTGCATTTTTCTTTACTTTGTTCTGTTTCAGTGCTTTCGCATCGATTTTTCTCCAGCTTGGGCGATTGCTGCTCAGAACAATTAGCGCAACAATCCAGACAACGTCCCAGGAAACAAGAACGTCAACGCGGGGGTAAAAATTTAAAGGACGCATCAAAAATCAAAACCCCGTTTTGCGAATTGCTGGTCAAGCGAAAACTTGCACCTTGAAAAGCCGCCAAATGAAAGATTTCAAGCCTCATTGCAGCGTTTTTATCCGGTTTTCAGCAGTTTCTTTAGCTTTCTATGTCTGTTTTATGTCATTTTCTCTTCTCTGATCATCTTCAAACAACCTTCACTATTTCTGACGTCAGATGTTCAAACAACCTTCACTTTTTACGCCCTGTCTCTACACTATCGAAGGTATGGCCTAAAGTTTTTCAGCAAACTTCCGGCCATTGTCCGAGTTCACCCACGCGCATGTGCACACAAAATTTGGTGTCGTTTCATAGGGTTCCTGGCTGTAAACAACGCACTCGCTTGTATGAGGTGCGATTTTGGATTGCCGCCTGCACGACATCGCTAGAACATATGCCTATCGGCCCGGTCTTGACTTCACAGCGTCAAAATCTGTGGGTGGATTCCATTTGATGCATTTCTCGTTTTTTTTGGGCGGGGGGGGGGGGGGAGGAGCTTCGTCCTTGTCCTCACAATAACGACCGCCTTTGCTTCCTCCCTCTAGAATGAATCCAGCTTGTGCCGGTTTCAGCATCACCGGGCTCTGTACTAAACCGGGCGGTTTACAGCTATGAAGAAATAGTATGATAGCTCAATGCAAGCTCAGTACTACAGGGTGCTCCATGCGAAATGTGGACTTCAAGATAGCATTTTTTGCCCTTTTTATGCTCTTCTTGATTCGTTCCTGGTCAGAATCTGTAATTGAGAAATGGAACTTTGCTTATCTTTGGTTAGCATGTTCTGCTGTTTGTTTGTTCCCTTTCGGACCTGGTGGTGGCAATTGCCACCATCAATTCAGAGATCTACTATACTGGCGCAAGAACATCATTTCACTACTCATTGCTCTCAAACGCTTCATATAGCCTTTGCCTTCCAAATGTAGCTTCGAGACCGGGTGTTCATTTGCTTCTCTGTGAATAGCATGTACATTTCTGTAAACAAGTGGATTTCAACCAATCAATAATTTGCGCCGGCTTGAGCACCGTTTCAGTATCTCGTTTATTAGCCAAAAAATATTCATAGTATTATCATAATGTTTTAGTACGATGCTGAGCAAATGTAACTGTTAACTGTTTGCGGGTCCACATGTTTTGCGGGAGATTTGAAAATCCAAAATAAACGCAAAACCAAAAAATTGAAAAATCAAAAAGAAATAGTTCATAAGGTTAAGCAGACTCCAAACTCCGCTGTAATGTTATTCATATGGTAATAAGTAAGAAACACTAGGAGAGAGGCTTCTCGGCTCACTCGCAAAAACTCAGGTCCGAAAGGGTTAAACAACAAAAAATTATTTCTTTGGAGGTCTCTATTTTTGTCAGTCATTAAGTACGCAACTGCGCAAATACACGAAAGCTTGTAGAGTTTCTGCAAAATGGAACATGATTCTTATTGCACAATGTTTATGTAACATAACCAAGTTTAATTTGCCTTGGAAAAGCAGCTTTTTGGAGTTTTCTGTACTTTTACGTGGTAAACGTAGCCAAAAAGCCGCGGTTTTTATTGAATAAATAATCGTAACAAACTTAGTAAACGTGGCCCACGTAATCTAAAATCGATACAATGTAGCCAAAGGATTGCTCTTTATAATAGTTACCAGCGCTCTTTGAAAACGTCAGGATAAGAATTTTCAAAATTCAGGAAATTCGGCGTTACTGCTGAGCTGCCCAAAAGCCATGGCGATAGCATTGCAAAGACAGGGTAGATCAGAAAGCAAATATAGCTGTAAGAAAAAGAATACAAATCTGAATCAGATGACACCTAAGTCGTCTATGAACTGGTGTTCTGTGAATTTTGGTGAGCGATGGAAAAAACGAACAAAGCTTTAGGAACAACCTCATAACCTTAGTAACCTCAATAGCATAACTCTTATGTGGCCTGGTAAGCGAGAAATGCCAAGTTTAACATGAAAACATTGAAAACGACATTCTTCCATTTCCGGGCTATTTACATTTCTTAATTTCGGGCACTGAAAAAATTCAGCAAATGCAATTTTGAATACCTATGTGTCTTCTGTATAATGACCAAGCTGGAGGTCCCTAAAAATCTGCTAGAAGATCCGATTTCAAGGTGCTTGAAAATTTTTTATTTTTGGCTCCAGATTCCACCTAGATTGCAGCTTACGTGAATCTCTAGTGGTCTAAAATTTGCTTCGCTCTTGAATGATAACCTTAGTCTGCTACGAAAGCAAACAGTTTGATCTGTCTAGAAAAGGTTACTTTTGGGAGAACCCAATATATACATGTCGCTATGACGAATTGATCAAAATGGTATTAGTAGAGCGGCGTTACTGACACTCGAGTACTTTCAGCCTCACACATTCGTATCCATTCGTATCCATTAATCTTCATCATTTCATTCAAGCGCGTGATGAAGATTTTCATACAAGATCCACTCCTTGTTCAAAAAATGTTCCCTCACAATAGATTATTACACTTCATGCTTTCCAAGGTAATTTTTGGAAACGCCACTTCGACTGAGTAATTTTTCTTGCTAGGAATATTCAGTCACAAGAACAAGGATGACGTAGATAGCAACAACTTGAAAGAAATCAAAAAGGTATTGAATAAGCATTCCGCTTTGATTATGTCCACGTAAGCAGAGCCCATAAATTCAAGCCGCGGGACGGTCCATGACAAAGATTCTTTCGGGTACAACCTAAAAATTTTTTTTCATTAATTAGAATTTTAGCAAATTATTCTCGCCTTCCCAGTTCGCCTTGTCCTAGCCGCTTGCGCTTTCGCTTGAGCTGCAGCTCCTAAAATCTCTTCAGATTATTCTCAAGACTCAGGATGATAGCGCTCAAAAAGTCACCTTTTGGACGGAAGGCCCATCTAATGGAGTCCGCCATGATCAATATTGCTGGTAGAAACACAAGACCATGTAAATTGCAGAGGACAACGCATAATACCATTACTTTAACAAAAACCTAAAGTGATAGGTCATTCTATGTTTGACGAAGAAATGATCCTGTTATCATAGGTTTACGATGCTATAGGATGAGGTGTTTTAGGTATTCTACGATGAGTGCTGGCGTAACTTATGAATATATTAGGTTGTCCCGAAAGTTTTGTCCGTTTTTTCAACCTATCATAAAAACACGTGGAGCGAAGATAGAGAAACGCTCTAAGCACTACCCGACGCGCCTTTTCCTCCTCTTTTTAACTGTCATGCTCCCATGTCGATTACTCTTTTGCTTACTGAGATAAGGGCCAAAATTTCGAACCCGTGGTTTTTACTATGTCCAAGTTTGGCAATTTTTCACAATTTTCATTTTCAACTTTTGGAAGTCCTTTGATAGCGCTCAGATAGAGTAAACAAAGGGCAATGCAACGCAATTTTGCGGCATCTACAGCTAGCCTTGAAAATTTTTTGGAATTATTTTTCTGATGCTATCAAATTCCACTTTTGGTGATGCCATGAACCATGGAACATAAAACGGCGCACAACTAAGGTGTCATTCGATGCAGCTTTTTCTCCTATTTCCAATGAGTGTATTTTTCCTCCAATTTGTGGGGTCTTTAGCGATCAAATTCCTCATAATTATTGGATTTGACCCCGCCCCAGTGTGTACCGTAAAATGCGAAATCTTATATTTCGAAGCGGTAAACGCTCAGTTGCTTTGTAAAAATAGTGAATAATTGTAAATGATTTTTGAAAGCTTCAAAATCCGATGATTGGTTAGTGTTCGAGGCGTTTCTGTATTTTGGGACTTCCCAAAAGTGAAGACTTTTGGAAAAATTATCTTAAAAAATACTGAAATGCCAGCTGGACAAGCCAAAAAATTGCATTGCATTGCCCTTTGCTTACTCTATCTGAGGGCTATCAAAGGTCTTCCAAAAGTTGAAAATGAAGATTGTGAAAATTGCCAAACTTGGACATAGTAAAAACCACGGGTTCGAAATTTTGGCCCTTATCTCAGTAAGCAAAAGAGCGACATGTGAGCATGAGAGTTAAAAAGAGAAGGAAAAGGCGCGTCGGGTAGTGCTTAGAGCGTTTCTCTATCTTCGCTCCACGTGTTTTTATGATAGGTTGAAAAAACAGACAAAACTTTCGGGACAACCTAATACAATGCTGATTTTCTTTTTCCATCAAAGCGAATACTCCGAACACGCCAAATGATTCGTGACACCTCTATGCGCCTTATCTAAAAGATTTGTGCAGGTAAACCACCCCGAATCGCAAGACATAGCTATGCGGCCGAGAGCTGCATTCAAGAAAAAGCGTGAACACGTAAATTAAGGCAAGTAAATCGCTAGGTTCTCCACGTTCTTTCGTCATATTTGCTTCGGATGGCGTTATTTGTAAAATAATTTCAAATTATACAAGTTGCATTGATATGCGTTTGCATAGTTATAAAATGTACCTGAGCCATATAGAGATTGACAAACAGCAAACTGCAGACACATAGTATAGTGCTGAGTGCAGCTTGCACAGCAGGAAAGGCTACAGATGACAGACAGTTAGCTAATCTGTCAGCTGGTCTTGATGCGGGCCCTTCTTGTATGCCTGAAGATCCAAGCAATGATTGCTTTAAAAAAAACGGTTGTGGAACAGACGTATCTTGGGAGTTTAATTATATTTCAAAACTAGCCTCCCCAAAGGCATGTGTCAAGGAAAATCTGAGAACCCAGAGTTCTTAATAAGTGCTGATTGAAAGACAATAATAAGGTAATAAGGGAGTCATACCCACTAAGCATGTCTACTTGAAATAAACTGTTGTAAAATCCTTTTTTTATTATCTGCAAAATGATCTTCATCTATGGCGAGTTAAAGTCTTCAAATGACTAGACATTTCTGTGCTCTTCGGTGCCTTTTTGTATGGAACACCAGACAGAGTTGGTATTGTACACAAAGTGATTGTTGCGTTATAAAAAGTAGGTAAAAAAGCAAGGGCTTTTATAGAAGAAGCCTCGTCTAAATAACTGTAACCCTCTGCAACAGTGTAACGGTGAACTATACAGCACTGAAGTGTCCATACGGTACAATGAGAAAAAGCTAGCAGGTTTGGTGTTCTCAATAGCCTAAAGGAAGACTAAGTATACCATGAAACTCATAGAAGAACAAGAATGTGATTGTCAGAACGATTTTTGTTTGCGTAATGAATAGAGTTCAATAGAACAAAAAGAGACTTAAAGACACCGTTCACCCAAGTCCTCGATTTTGAGTTTTTGCCCTTTTGTACCTCTTCACACTGAGTCCGAATCTGAGTGGACGGGACAAATGTACCGCCCACTTGCTAGGGAGGAGCCAACGTGGCGAATCCGTCTTCTGAAGGAATTTTGGAGCGATTTTCTCGCTTTGGAAGCAACTTCAGACATCGCGAGTTGGGCAGCTATGCAGTTGAGGGGCTCGCAACTATTGGACATCGAAACCTCATAGATCCATATTAGGTGAACGGAGCCTTTAAACATATGGTTACCCTTCTGGAGCGATTTTCTCGATTTCGCTAGCCGTCCTGACATCTCCACCGGCTAAGTGCGAACGCTTGCCTTGAAATCGGGACCAAGAAGATCGCTCCGGAAGCTTGGAGTGTGAGTTCACAGTGGAGAGGACCCCGCCCACCTCTGATTTCTCTCCTGTGTTAGAGCCCTTTTTGGCCGTTTTCGCTCTTTCTAAAGTGGATTTTCGGATTCAGCATAGCGAAAGCACAAAATCTCAAAATCGAATTTTGCCCGGACACTGCCTTTAAGAATAACGATGTCTTGTTGAAATACATATTTTGAGTAATTCCAACACTGACTTTATAGACAAATGTGCTATGATCCTAGAACCCACGACATTTCAAAAAGACACTGAAGGCGTCTCAAAAAGGCATAATAATCAATTTTAGATCCAACTGCTGATTGTAAAGCACCTAGACTGAAGCCTTCGACTATGATGCCACTATTAGTAGCACACATAAAAACTGACATCGGCAAAGGGCAGTCAATTGCATTCCACTTATTCTCGACCTTTCACAAAACGCCGCATGTTGTTGCAAGAACTAACCCTAGAAGACCTCTTAGACGTGGCCTCGGGCAGAGTTCACGCGATTTAATCGTCGCGATTCAATCGCTACAAGACAAGTGTTACGAGTTGATTGCATGGCGATCTTTTTGTATTACGGTTGTGATAGTGAGTCACGATTAGTCGCGTTGGAAAACTACCACAACTGAGATGCGAGAAGATCGGCATGCAATGAACTTGTAACACTTGTCTTGTAGGCAGGCGCTATACTCCTCGAGGAGTATAGCGCCTGCCTACAAGACAAGTGTTACAAGTTCATTGCATGCCGATCTTCTCGTTGGCGACAGTGTTGGCGACACACGTTTAATACGTATCGATTAGCGACTGGCGATCGCCAATCGCCAAACAAGTTACCACACGTCCAATCGATACACATTTAACATGTCGCTAACACTGGCGACTGGCGATCGCCAGTCGTAGCGACTAGCGATCGCCAATATCGGCGACAAAATAGCCGGTTTTACACGTATTTGATGCATATCGATAGTCGCCATGCTATACTCCTCGAGGAGTATAGCGCCTGCTGTAGCGGTTGAATCGCGACGATCAAATCGCGTGAACTCTGCCCGAGGCCTAACAGAGGTTATTTTAGTATTAAAGGCAGCTTCAAGACAAATTTGGACCTATGGGACTCTCAGGTGGAAAGTAATCTTGAGGCCCTGAATAAGTCTCTGCCCAAGCGGCAGCTCAGATAGTGCACTCACGGCTAAATATATTAGGCTCCAAACTATGCCCCGTGACCATAATAGCTTGGATTCATGGCTCGGCACATCAATTTCGCGTGGATCCTCGCGCGAAAGCGCCACGAATCCATGCGAATACGGTCACGGGGCATAGTTTGGAGCCCAATATCTTAACCGTGAGTGCACTATCTGAGCTGCCGCTTGGGCAGAGTCTTACTTGTGGCCTCAAGATTACTTACCACGTGAGAGCCCCATAGGTCCAGATTTGCCTGGACGCTGCCTTTAAGTTGGCACATAAGTTCTGCAGCTTAGTCCATAACATTCCTTTTCTTGAGTGTGGCTTTCTCATTCTTTTTGGCGTAATGCAGATTAAGATTATAAGGTACAAATCTTCGCAAACCGTTTTGTTTCTGATGGCGATGTGGGAAAATTTCCATTTTTCGAAAGCTGGTCGAATCAGAACTTTCACCGGGCTAAAATATAAATCAAGTCGTTCTCAACCATCATCAAACGCATCGAACCGAAACTACATACAGAGTGTTAGATTTATGTAGCAAGCATTTGTGCAGTTTTCTCTCAATGCGTTTGATGCAGGCTGTGAACGGCTTCATTTTTGCTTTTGGCACGGTGAAATTTGGTGAAATTTCTGATTATCCAGCTTTCGAGAAACGAGTAAGATTCCGCCACTTTGAAACCTGAAACAAAATGGTATGCGCAGATTAGTAGCACACTATCTCCTCATTTCTGTAAACTTGCTGTTTTGGAAGGCTGAAAATGTACAGTTTTACTGCTAATGGCATGTACTATACAACTGTTGGTGCTAGAACATCTCACCACTAAATTGGCGAAAACATGAAAACTTCGTTTTCTCATTTTCTAGCTGAGAGAAAAACGTCTATACGAAATTAATCACAATGCATGAGCAAGTTAGGAATTTTGAAGAATTTTTCTGAACGGACTTCCAATTTTTTCTTGGTTTTTTGGGGCGCATGGATCATTTTCATTTTGGCTTCAACTTTCGCTTGGATCAAAACTGCTGCAATACTTTACTATCTTGTAGAGCTAGGTTTGCTCTATCTAATGATATATCGAATCCTATCTGGAATTAGGATTATTCCGGAAGATTGCAGTCTGTACCTATTTTAAGGCAAAAATTATGCATCAACCTAACAGATATAGAGCAGTAACAAATCCGTAATTAAACAACGCAGATGAATATCTATTGAGCATTAGGCTTTGGCTATACTTTGCCCGTGTTGCCGATGTTACCAGTGTTACTCGTGTTGCCGAAGTTACCAGTGTTACTCGTGTTACTCGTGTTGCCGATGTTATTACCAGTGTTAATCGGTGTTGCCCGTGTTTCTAGTGTTAACGCCTTTATTGCTGTTAATTCTTGAAATGATCGCCAGTACAATTTCAGACTACGTTCAAGATTGAAATTGTATTGAGGATTGTTTCAAGAATTAACAGTAATAAAGGCGTAACACTAGAAACACGAGCAACACGAGTAACACGAGTAACACGAGTAACACTGGTAACATCGGCAACACGAGTAACACTGGTAACATCGGCAACACGGGCAAAGTATGGCCAAAGCCTAATGCTCAATAGATAGATACCTATCTGTGTTGTTTAATTACGGATTTGCTACTGCTACTCTATATCTATTAGGTTGATGCATAATTTTTGCCTTAAAATAGGTACAGACCGCAATAATCCGGAATAGTCTTAATTCCATATAGAATTTGATATATCATTAGATAGAGCAAACCTAGCTCTACAAGATAGTGCGTAAAGTATTGCAGCAGTTTTGATCCAAGCGAAGGTTGAAGCCAAAACGGAAATGATCCATGCGCCCCAAAAAAAACCAAGAAAAAATTGGAAGTCCGTTCAGAAAAATCCTTCAAAATTCCTAACTTGCTCATGCATTGTGATTGATTTCGTATAGACGTTTTTCTCTCAGCTAGAAAATGAGAAAACGAAGTTTTTCATGTTTTCGCCGAATTAGTGGTGAGATGTTCTAGCACCAACAGTTGTATAGTACATGCCATTAGCAGTAAAACTGTACATTTTCAGCCTTCCAGAACAGCAAGTTTACAGAAATGAGGAGATGGTGTGCTACTAATCTGTGTGGATAGTGTGCTACTAATCTGCGCATAACATTTTGTTTCAGGTTTCAAAGTGGCGGAATCTTACTCGTTTCTCGAAAGCTGGATAATCAGAAATTTCACCAAATTTCACCGTGCCAAAAGCAAAAATGAAGCCGTTCTCAGCCTGCATCAAACGCATTGAGAGAAAACTGCACAAATGCTTGCTACATAAATCTAACACTCTGTATGTAGTTTCGGTTCGATGCGTTTGATGATGGTTGAGAACGACTTGATTTATATTTTAGCCCGGTGAAAGTTCTGATTCGACCAGCTTTCGAAAAATGGAAATTTTCCCACATCGCCATCAGAAACAAAACGGTTTGCGAAGATTTGTACCTTATAATCTTAATCTGCATTACGCCAAAAAGAATGAGAAAGCCACACCCAAGAAAAGGAATGTTATGGACTAAGCTGCAGAACTTATGTGCCAACTTAAAGGCAGCGTCCAGGCAAATCTGGACCTATGGGGCTCTCACGTGAAAAGTAATCTTGAGGCCCTAAATAAGACTCTGCCCAAGCGGCAGCTCAGATGCACGCACGGTTGAGATATTGGGCTCCAAACTATGCCCCGTGACCGTATTCGTGACCGTGACCGTGACCGTATGTCTTATACGAAATGACAATGCATGAACAAGTCAGGAATTTTGAAGGATTTTTCTGAACGGAC